ACAATATATATGTTTTGGATTTTGTTTAGGAATGTTAGCCTTTTCCTCTAAAACAAAAGATGATGTTTGGTATTTTGTTTGGGAATGTTAGCCTTTTCCTAAAAACACAATAGATGATGTTTGAGATTTTGTTTGGGAATGTTAGTCTTTTCCTAAAAAACAATAGATGATGTTTTGTATTTTGTTTGGGAATGTTAGCCTTTTCCTAAAAAAACAATAGATGATGTTTGATATTTTGTTTGGGAATGTTAGCCTTTTGCTAAAAAAACAATAGATGATGTTTGATATTTTGTTTGGGAATGTTAGCCTTTTGCTAAAAAAACAATAGATGATGTTTGATATTTTGTTTGGGAATGTTAGCCTTTTCCTAAAAAACAATAGATGATGTTTTGGATTTTGTTTGGGAATGTTAGCCTTTTCCTAAAAAAACAATAGATGATGTTTTGGATTTTGTTTGGGAATGTTAGCCTTTTCCTAAAAACAATGGATGATGTTTGAGATTTTGTTTGGGAATGTTAGCCTTTTCCTTAAAAAACAATAGATGATGTTTGGTATTTTGTTTGGGAATGTTAGCCTTTTCCTAAAAACAATAGATACTGTTTGGTATTTTGTTTAGGAATGTTAGCCTTTTCCTAAAAACGATAAATAATGTTTGGTATTTTGTTTGGGAATGTTAGCCTTTTCCTAAAAACAATAGATTCTGTTTGGTATTTTGTTTGGGAATGTTAGTCTTTTCCTAAAAACAATAGATGATGTTTGGTATTTTGTTTGGGAATGTTAGTGTTTTCCTAAAAACAATAGATGATGTTTGGTATTTTGTTTGGGAATGTTAGTCTTTTCCTAAAAAACAATAGATGATGTTTGGTATTTTGTTTGGGAATGTTAGCCTTTTCCTAAAAACAATAGATACTGTTTGGTATTTTGTTTGGGAATGTTAGTCTTTTCCTAAAAAAATAGATGATGTTTGGTATTTTGTTTAGGAATGTTAGCCTTTTCCTAAAAAAACAATAGATGATGTTTGGTATTTTGTTTGGGAATGTTAGCCTTTTCCTAAAAACACAATAGATGATGTTTGGTATTTTGTTTGGGAATGTTAGCCTTTTCCTAAAAACAATAGATGATGTTTGAGATTTTGTTTGGGAATGTTAGCCTTTTCCTAAAACACAATAGATGATGTTTGAGATTTTGTTTGGGAATGTTAGCCTTTTCCTAAAAACAATAGATGATGTTTGGTATTTTGTTTGGGAATGTTAGCCTTTTCCTAAAACACAATAGATGATGTTTGAGATTGTGTTTAGGAATGTTAGCCTTTTCCTAAAAAAACAATAGATGATGTTTGGTATTTTGTTTGGGAATGTTAGCCTTTTCCTAAAAAAACAATAGATGATGTTTGGTATTTTGTTTGGGAATGTTAGTCTTTTCCTAAAAACAATAGATGATGTTTGGTATTTTGTTTGGGAATGTTAGCCTTTTCCTAAAAACAATAGATGATGTTTGAGATTTTGTTTGGGAATGTTAGCCTTTTCCTAAAACACAATAGATAATGTTTGAGATATTGTTTGGGAATGTTAGCCTTTTCCTAAGAAAACGAACAAAAGCAAATGTTTATTTCTTCATCAATCTATGGACGCTTTATTGATCGTGCTTGTTGTGTTGTATAGTTTGATAAAAACCAGCTTGTTGTGTTGTATATTTTGATAAAAACCAGCTTGTTGTGTTGTATATTTTGATAAAAACCAGCTTGTTGTGTTGTATAGTTTGATAAAATCAGCTTGTGTTGTTGTATAGTTGGATAAAAACCAGCTTGTGTTATTGCATAGTTTAAGAAAAATCAGCTTGTGGTGTTGTATAGTTTAAGAAAAATCAGCTTGTGGTGTTGTATAGTTTAAGAAAAACCAGCTTGTGTTATTGCATAGTTTAAGAAAAAATCAGCTTAAGGTGTTGTATAGTTTAAGAAAAACCAGCTTGTGTTATTGTATAGTTTAGGAAAAATCAGCTTGTGTTGTTGTATAGTTTAGGAAAAGTCAGCTTGTGTTATTGCATAGTTTAAGAAAAATCAGCTTGTGGTGTTGTATAGTTTAAGAAAAACCAGCTTGTGTTATTGTATAGTTTAAGAAAAACCAGCTTGTGTTATTGCATAGTTTAAGAAAAATCAGCTTGTGGTGTTGTATAGTTTAAGAAAAATCAGCTTGTGGTGTTGTAAAGTTTAAGAAAAATCAGCTTGTGGTGTTGTATAATTTAACAAAAACCAGCTTGTGTTATTGCATAGTTTAATTAAAACCAGCTTGTTGTGTTGTATAGTTTAATCATATGTAACTAGCTTGGCATGTTTTATAGGTTAATCAAAACCCGCTTGGTGTGTTGAAATTTGATTTTAGATTTCTGATGATATATCTAATATGAGAGAATATAGGTAAACGCGATCGTCACGGGCCTTTTAACGTGACTGTCATTGGCTCTATCTCTCGGCAACGTTAAGTAAAACATAATCAGTTTAAATTGCCGAAACGCCTTTTAGAACGGCATGTGAAATATTTATTTGAACGTAATTATGTAAATGCATTCATGCCTTTTGTTTATTCAAGTTTTCCTTTATAATTAAGTACCATGCAATCGGCAACCTGAAGCTGATTAATAAAAATCCACTTGTTCTTGATATTTTCTCGTTTCTTATAGGGACATGTATAGAGTCCTATATCTTCTATTCTGTTGTAATATTTAATGTATTTTTAACAGTCAGAAATTGTAGGAGATATATTTTTTAATTTACACAAGTATATTGAGTATCTCATAAGAAACAATAAAAAGTTAACTTCATATCTGTGATCTATGTCTAATACACCAAAAATAAAAATTTTCGGGTGTCTAGGTAAAGTAACTTGATATTTGATTTCCAGTATTTCTGTCAACAAACGACAAAACATTTTAACCACACTGCATTCCCAAAATAAATAAATTACTGAGAGTTTACATTTCATCAATTTTGTATTGGTATAGAATATACTGTGTACTATTTTATACCGAAAATTAATCAATTTTGTGTCATCAGTTACCTCCCTTGGTGTTAGGTTAATCATTTCCCAAGTTTCTTCACTTATATCAATATCTAGGATTTCCTTCCATTTTCTATGGCTATTCAATGGGTTTTCCGCAATTGTTTCGATGAGAGTATAATAATACTAAGATAATTGATTAATTTATATTGAGTAGTATTTATGTCTACAGTTACATTCTGTAGGATTATCTTCCAATTTCTTGGAACGGCATTAATAACACCATAATGATCTATAACATTTATACTAACATTATACTTTTTTGTGAAAAAAATCTCATAAGATATAAATTGGTTGTTTTCCAATAAATCCGAAGTAAACAATATATTTTTTTGCACCAATGTTCATAAAAGAAACATCTATTGTCTCTTTTAATAGAAATATTTAGAAAAATAGGTTGAGATATCACATCTTCAGTGGTTGTGGGGGGACATATTTGTTTGCATAGAAGCCCAAAATGTAAACACTTCCCTCCAAAAAGTATTACATTGATTTTGATAACTCTTTTAGTCCTTCTTTGGTCATTTTCAAAATGTTATCCCCTCCAACACACTCTAATTTGTCTAAACGTAATGTTTTCCATGCTGCTTGGCTGGAGGGATCAATGATTTTTTTTGTATCCAAGACATCTTCAGTGCACGACAAAAAGTCAAAACATGTGGTAAACGTAGTACTTCATTTCCATAATCGCTATACATTATATTTCTCTTTATTTTATCTGGCTTTCCATCCCACAAAAAAAATTAACAAAAAAAAAATCTGTAATTCGATAGTAATATATGAAAGAGAATCAGGAAGTACAGTTCATGTCTGGATAAAAAATAGGCAACGCTAGACTTCTGATAATAGTTACTCTTCCAATGTAAGATAAATTTCTAACAGACCAATCTTTAAATATTTTTTTACTGTTCCTAGTTTTTCGCTGTAGTTATCTTCAAATATATTTGTATTCTGAAAGTTATATTTGATACCGAGTAATTTAAAGATACCTTGATGATTCCATACCAAATTTCTTTCAGGTAAAAGTTCCAACCTACAACCCCGTCTTGCCCCAATCCATACTGCTTGGGTTTTTTACTATATTTTTTTTGTAAAGACCAGATACCTTTTGCAAACTTTTTCAAGAGAAATTTGGTCATCAGATAATGTAAAACATGTGTCATCTGCAAATTGGTTTATCAAATATTCTGAATTGTTAATAGTAATACCGTTTATATTTTGATTGATTTTTAAAGCTGAACTAAGTAGTTAGGTGCATAAAATAAAACATATAAGGACTCAAAGGGTCGCCCTGTCTCACCCCACGTTGAATATAAAAAAATCTGAAAGGCGACCATCATTTATAATGCAACATGAGCTGTTTTTATAAAAGGGTTGAATCCATTGAATAATTGAAGACCCAAAACTGTAAAAATGTAGAGAATTAATGATACAATTAAATTCTAAAGAGACAAAGGCTTTAACAAAATCTATCAATAAAAGAAATCAAGGAGTTTTTTTTCTGTGCTTTCTAGTAAATCTGCAATTAATCTGGTACATTCTCCAATATATCTTCTTTTTATAAAACCTTTTTGTGTATCACCAATAAGATAATTATATGTACCTTGCTTGGCGTGCTTTATAGTTCAATTATATGTAACTAGCTTGGCGTGTTTTATAGGTTAATCAAAACCCGCTTGGTGTGTTGAAATTTGATTTTAGATTTCTGATGATATATCTAATATGAGAGAATATAGGTAAACGCGATCGTCACGGGCCTTTTAATGTAAATGTCATTGGCTCTATCTCTCGGCAACGTTAAGTAAAACATAATCAGTTTAAATTTCCGAAACTCCTTTTAGACAGGTATGTAAAATATTTATTTGAACCTAATTATGTAAATGTATTCATGCCTTTGTTTACTTAATTGAAAGCTTTCATCTATTTGTGTATCTGTTTTGTTTAGAGATGCCTCGTTTAAGGCTGTTCAAGCTGTTGTCTAGGATGATTTCGTGTAGGAGGCAGACCCTGATGACGTGGACATCAATACTCATTCTGGTGTTAATATGGGCTAATATGCATCTACTATCATGTGTCACAGAGAACTCGGAACAAGTGCCTTCTAACGCAGGTTCGTTTTCTGGACATTTAGCAGTCTACTTTATATATGGCCACTAACAACATGAACATATATATGTACTATATAAATTTATATATATATTAAAATTCAAATTTTAATAATCATCTTTAATTTTCTCTGTCTCATATCGAATTAATGAATGCACCGCTTTGTACTATCGTCTTATTGATCGAGCCAAGAGCAGCACAATCTAGATTACTTCTTGGTGAAGCCGTCACGACATACTAGTAAACATTTTGATATCTGGTCATACTATGACTGGATACCCGAGTCAAAGTATTATAAATGCTTTTACGACTTTGTCAGTAGAGGAAAGTCTCAATAACAGTATGTGACAGAAGAAAAATCAACACTAATGGTGCATGGACATCTTTTACATCTTTATTTTGTTCAAATTTTATAAAGAATAATACAAAAATAAATACTTTTGTAAATTGCTGTATATGATATATATAAATATATATTTAAACATATATATGTGAAGCTACATGGGTATATTGACACGTTTGTGAACGATTTAGTGATATTGTTGATGCATACAATGACAGTGTGGATGATGTCTGTTGATTGCCCTCCTCTTAGGTCATGTTTTAAAGTTTTTAATTGTTCGTACAAAATGTTTTTTTTAAAAGAGTGGTACTTCTCGGTTCCTATTTGTTGCTCAGTATTGGAGAGCATTTAGCCCAGGTTATGACTTTTCGATGTGATTACGTTGAGTGGCCCTATCACCCGTTGGAACTGTTTTCATATGGTCAGGAGTTAAAAATCATTACACAATTTTAAAAATACAAAAAAATAGATATAATCATTTGATACAACTTTTGAGCTAGATACAGAAGAAGTAGAGCCAGACAATGAATGAATAATACAGCTGTTTTGTCCTTCTTCAGTGATGCTACATCATACAACTGTCCCATCCTTCTAGGACTCGTCAGTGATACTACGTCATTAATCTGTTTCGTCCTTCTAGGACCCGTCAGTAATACTACATCATACAGCTGTCTCGTCCTTCTAGGACTCGTCAATGATGCTGCATCATACAACTTTCTCATCCTTCTAGGACTCGTCAGTGATACTACATCATACAGCTGTTTCGTCCTTCTAGGAATCGTCAGTGATACTAAGGTCCTAAATTGTAAAGCCTAGCAAAACACAAAAAAATAACAAACACCGATTGAAAACAGTATTTTCGATGACAGAATCTTGACGATATTGGTTGAATGGAAGAAAGTGTTAAAGTCACAAGTTAAACTGTATTTTTACGACGCATTTTCGCCCAAAATAACACTCTTAGTCTGAGAGAAATATATGAATACAAAACTGATGAATTTCATTCCGAACACAACTTTTATACTCTTGTAATGTTTAGCTAAGTGTCGTATCCTGTGATATCAGGGATAAGGTGTTTACAATTAAATGGTAGCAATAATCATTTTTACCGAAGAGTAATCTTTAATATCTCAGTCTATGAAATTTAATTACTTACGTGTACAAACGGTTCTGATCGGCACTAACAATGATATCACATGCGTCCGACCCGACACATGAACCCTAACATCAATATATATATAACTGTGGTTCTTGCTATTTCCCGCACTATAACACAATACTATACAAACTAATACCGTACGTCGCACAAACAGGTACTAGAATCTAACAAATTACTTAAGGATTCACGCGCTCAGTCTTGTATCCGCTGTTAGGTCTGTAATCTCCTAAAACGGTCAGGACCCTCTACTACTCCGTCTGTCAACAGTTAATGTTGACTTGTATAAGATCATGCGTCACTCCCCAAACACGACCCAAGTCGAAAAGAGCCAAGACAACACCAACCCGTCCTACCCGTGTGTTAACCTCAGAAAACCTAACACGGCTGCTGACTCTAATAAAACTGACACGGAATGAGGTTTCTCTCCACATTTTACACCCTGACAGAAACAGGAAGTTACCGCGTTCAGATTTTATCATGGTAAAGTGCTTCAAAGCCATTGAGACAGTAGTGTAGAATAGATACTTTCATTCAAGATCGAAATCTACATTGATGACCCGGAAATAAATATCGTTATACACAAACGTAGCGGTAAACACGGACTGCCTAACTACTTACAAGTAAGGTTGCCTACCTCGATGATAAAACTATACATTATTAACTACACTCTTTTTCAGACATCCGCAGATCAAATCCATCACCTGCAAAGAGACAACAAGTTCGACAATTTGCTCCATTTGAGGTAAGCTGTGGTAATTTATACATCTGAACACAAAACAAGAAAATACCAACATGTCAACATAATCACAATCAAGACTCAAAACAACAAGAAAATACCAACATGTCAACATAATCACAATCAAGACTCAAAACAACAAGAAAATACCAACATGTCAACATAATCACAATCAAGACTCAAAACAACAAGAAAATGTCAACATGTCAACAAAATTGTAATCCTAACTCCAGTACAATAAAACTAGGATAAAATATGAACAGAAAAGTTTTAAATGGAGACTCAGGAAAAAATACGAGGAGAATAAGGTCAGGTATTCCGGAAGAGTACGAGTCTTCTGCTTCATAAATAACATCAGTCATATATCAGCGTAGGTAAGCAGAACAAGGCAAACAACGGAATCATCTGGTTCAAGCACGTCCAGCTTCATATTGCACAAAGGAATAGAATATGTCTAAATGAGATCATCATGATAGCCATTAAACTTGATCCTCATCATATTGTATTATGTTATTCCGTAGGGTGTGTTTCATGTGACTTTTTGTATATCTTATTGACTTTCTACAGGTGGAATCAATGAAACTGCCCATTAATCCAGATAAAGCCCTTCTTTACGGAACGAGGAGACAGAATCAGAGTCAGTATTAATTTCATTATTAACATCATAAATAAGGTTTTCAGGTGCTATACATATCTGTCTCTTGTACAATATAAAAAAAAACGTTTTAACCGTTAGTTAATTTGGTAAAAACAATGCACAGCATTGTCACAATGTATACGTACACGTTACAGACTGGCCGATACTATTGATACATAGTATGGAAATCTAGTAGGCAATGTGACTCTTCAAATACAAAATACTGGGTTTGAATACTGTCTATAAGTACTCATCCGTCATTCTGTTGATTTGTAGGTGAGCTGACGATTGGAATCCCAACGGTACGTCGAAACGGCGTTGACTACCTTGAAAGGACTCTATACTCATTAATTACATATTCTAAAGCGCCTCAGCGAAAGTCTATGGTGGTTGTCGTCTTTATGGTTGACAAAAACGAGACGTGGGTCAAGTCAAGAAGCAAACAAATAGCCACTAAATTCCCTAAGCTTATACAGAACGGGTTTTTACAGATCATTCATCCTCACGATCAAAGTATATACCCCGATTTTAATAAACTTAAACGAACGTTTAACGACACTGCAGCCAGAGTAGCCTGGCGGTCAAAACAGAACATAGATTATGCTTATCTTTTCTCGTACAGTAAAAACATATCTCGATATTATCTTCATCTTGAAGATGACGTAATCGCGGCTCACAATTATTACGATGATATATTGAATTTCATACAATCGAAATCAAACACTTTCTGGTATTGTCTAGAATTTTCCTTCTTGGGATTTATTGGTAAATTATTTCGATCGTCCGACCTTCAGGAATTGTCAGAATATATATTGATGTTCTTCGATGAACAGCCCGGTGATCTTTTGCTAAGTGCCATGAAACATATCAAAACTCAATGGAAAGATATTCGAACTGAAAAATCTTTGTTCCAACACAAAGGCATAGTTTCATCCTTGACCGACAAAACACAGAAACTCGTTGACGGGCGTTTCAAAGACTCATTTGGGCAGCAATATTCTCGTAAACGATTTTACCATGTGAATCCTTCTGCTGTGATCGATTCTAAAATCGAAACTTATTCCGATTATGAACCCGTACATGCATATGATTTATCTGACAAATACTTTTGGGGCGTCAACCCTAAACAAGGAGATTACTTCAGGTTAATATTCGAAGGTCATCAAAACATTAGCCGGTTATTCATCGATTCTGGTGAAGCTACAAAGCAATCGGACATGTTACACCATGCTAGACTGCTTGTATCTAATTCCGAAATACCTTGTCAAAATCTGGTTCATATCACCGACTTTGTAGATGGTGACGTTGACACCAGGAAATCTAACATTTCATTGCCTGAAAATATAGACTGCATCGTGATTGAAATCACCGCCAACCAAAGTGACTGGGTCATTATTAGAGAGATTGCCGTATTTCTCCCCGGCGAGTCGGAGAAGGAAGCAGAAAAGGATTCGAGATCTGCACAATCACATGGCGAAAGCAAAATATTGAAATGGCAGACATGGAAGAAACAATCTAAACCCAAGATCAGGGCACCGAGGTTTGAGAATGGTAAGCTCATTATTCCTGGCGAAATCAAGAATCAGTATCAGCGGAAACAACAATTTAATGACGCGATTCACCAAAATAATGTACATAAAATCAAGCCCCATGAGATGGTTGGACAACGTAGGCAGAACAGAGAACACGAACAAAAGGAAATTAACGAAAAACTAATGCAGAACACGTTTGACCGCAAGCGTGGTCAGGCAAATGGTGTACTTCCACAATTAAATGACCCAAAGTTATCAGAACTTTGGCAACAACAAAATAAAATTGATATGCTGATGAAAATGGATGAAATGGCACAAAAATTACGGAGAAACCCTCCACCAAAAATTCAAGGACGAAACGTACGTGTGATACATCGTGATAGAAAGGAAAACATGAAAAAATGAAAGATCAACACTCAGTTTCACTCAATCGAAAAATCGCTTTTTTCCGGGGGAAAAAACAAAAAAAAAAAAAAAAAAAATAACATAACCTTAAGGGCGTTACGGTGATCTCATTTCTATAACGGCTATTGTTGATTTTGTAGCCTAGAAAAGATCATGTTAACAAAGCGAGATTCATATTTACATGTATATAACATGATCTGATGTTCCCTGTTAAGGATTCTTAAAAACATGAATTAAAACAAATCTTTCTCAATGATGTTGTTTTCCTTTATAAACTTTTGTTATCTGTAACTCTTCTCCAGGATGAAATGTGAAATCCTGGCGTCATAACATTTATAAATTTGGAAAAGTACCTAAGGAATTTAATCTTTGAATAGTATTTGATTTTGCTATAACTGGATCTTTAAAATAAGACCCTTTCTGAAATGTTAATTTTTAGCAAGTTTACGTTTTTCCCAATGGCAATTAATCAAATTATGATATGTTTTCCTATGTAAACTGCAGGAAGCTTAAGTCCGGTTGACAGCAACTCCTTTTCCTTCAATTGATCTGAATGATTATGAAAAAAGACATGAATTGTTTTAGATACAGCTGAAACTACCAGGTAGCATGTTAGATGTATAGACTCACTCAGGTAGGCAAATGTAGATTGGAAATGAAACCTTACAGATCCAATAAATAGTCTGAAGTAATGTAACGCTGAGGACGGACGAATAGATCGACAATACAAAAAATATCTGACTTTATCCAGAAAAAGGTCCGACAAATGGACTAACATTAACAACATCTATATCACACTAGTAAACTATACAGTCAGTTGGTGTGAATAGACAATACGAAATTCTATGTTCGACTGAAACACTAACTTTTCAAACACAGTTGGATCGGATGGATATATTGATGTATAATGCCAGATCAGCGTATCTGTATTTTGACATTGTAGAGGGTAGACAGCTATAATACGTCATTATTTGACAATTGGACATTTATCAGAGGAAAAGTATCGATTCCAGTTCTTACGTCGTGTGCGATTAAGGACAACAGCGGTATAATTAACGCTAGGTAACGTGAGTTTGAAGACGATAACAACGATAAGTGATTTAATTGGTGTAAATTATTGTAATTTCTGTCAATGTTCTTACTGCAGGTCTGTATAATCAGGTTTGTAATAACTCCCCATTCTTCTATATGTGACACCGCTACATGAAATAATTGTTTACAGAAAAAACAAAGATAAACCGTGATCTAAAACCAGGTTTATTGTGCTGACTGTTGTGGAGACGTCTCATACTACAGAAATAAACAACTGTGCGACACGATTTTGGATTCAAATGGTCGAACGTTAAAGCTCTCAATATTATCAAGACAATTTGTAATCATTAAAGTGTGAAGACAAATACACATTTTTCTCTTCTTTTGTCTCCTTTATAAGGACTTAATACTCTATTGCCATGGACAGGTAAACCCACGCTCTTTACCGGTATGATATGTCTTTGTCTCCTACCCTTGAGAGGTAAACCCACGCTTTTTACCGGTATGATATGTCTTTGTTCCCTACCATTGACAGGTAAATCCATGCTCTTTACCGGTATGAGATTTCTTTGTCCCCTACCCTTGAGAGGTAAATCCACGCTCTTTACCGGTATGATATGTCTTTGTCCCCTACCCTTGAGAGGTAAATCCACGCTCTTTACCGGTATGAGATTTCGTTGTCCCCTACCCTTTAGAGGTAAATCCACGCTCTTTACCGGTATGATATGTCTTTGTCCCCTACCATTGACAGGTAAATCCACGCTCTTTACCGGTATGATGTCTTTGTCCCCTACCATTGACAGGTAAATCCAAGCTCTTTACCGGTATGAGATTTCGTTATCCCAATATTCTTGACAGGTAAACCCATGCTCTTAACCGGTATGAGATTTCTTTGTCCCCTACCATTGACAGGTAAATCCACGCTCTTTACCGGTATGAGATTTCTTTGTCCCCTACCCTTGAGAGGTAAATCCAAGCTCTTTAAGGGTATGAGATTTCTTTGTCCCCTACCATTGACAGGTAAATCCACGCTCTTTACCGGTATGAGATTTCGTTATCCCAATACTCTTGACAAGTAAATCCACGCTCTTTACCGGTGTGATATGTCTTTGTCCCCTACCATTGACAGGTAAATCCACGCTCTTTACCGGTATGAGATTTCTTTGTCCCCTACCCTTGAGATGTAAATCCATGCTCTTTACCGGTATGATATGTCTTTGTCCCCTACCATTGACAGGTAAATCCAAGCTGTTTACTGGTGTGTGATTTCGTTATCCCCCTACCCTTGAGAGGTAAATCCACGCTCTTTACCGGTATGAGATTTCTTTGTCCCCTACCCTTGAGAGGTAAATCAATGCTCTTTACCGGTATGATATGTCTTTGTCCCTTACCCTAGAGAGGTAAATCCACGCTCTTTACCGGTGTGATATGTCTTTTTCCCCTACTCTTGACAAGTAAATCCACGCTCTTTACCGGTGTAATATGTCTTTTTCCCCTACTCTTGACAAGTAAATCCACGCTCTTTACCGGTATGATATGTCTTTTTCCCCTACTCTTGACAGGTAAATCCACGCTCTTTACCGGTATGAGATTTCTTTGTCCCCTACCATTGAGAGGTAAATCCACGCTCTTTACCGGTATGAAATTTCTTTGTCCCCTACTCTTGACAGGTAAATCCACGCTCTTTACCGGTATGAGATTTCTTTGTCCCCTACCCTTTAGAGGTAAATCCACGCTCTTTACCGGTATGATATGTCTTTGTCCCCTACCATTGACAGGTAAATCCACGCTCTTTACCGGAATGAGATTTCTTTGTCCCCTACCCTAGAGAGGTAAATCCACGCTCTTTACCGGTGTGATATGTCTTTTTCCCCTACTCTTGACAAGTAAATCCACGCTCTTTACCGGTATGAGATTTCTTTGTCCCCTACCATTGAGAGGTAAATCCACGCTCTTTACCGGTATGAGATTTCTTTGTCCCCTACCATTGAGAGGTAAATCCACGCTCTTTACCGGTATGATATGTCTTTGTCCCCTACCATTGACAGGTAAATCCACGCTCTTTACCGGTATGAGATTTCTTTGTCCCCTACCCTTGAGAGGTAAATCCATGCTCTTTACCGGTATGATATGTCTTTGTCCCCTACCCTAGAGAGGTAAATCCACGCTCTTTACCGGTATGATATGTCTTTGTCCCCTACCATTGACAGGTAAATCCACGCTCTTTACCGGTATGAGATTTCTTTGTCCCCTACCCTAGAGAGGTAAATCAATGCTCTTTACCGGTATGATATGTCTTTGTCCCCTACCCTAGAGAGGTAAATCCACGCTCTTTACCGGTGTGATATGTCTTTTTCCCCTACTCTTGACAAGTAAATCCACGCTCTTTACCGGTGTGATATGTCTTTTTCCCCTACTCTTGACAAGTAAATCCACGCTCTTTACCGGTTTGATATGTCTTTTTCCCCTACTCTTGACAAGTAAATCCACGCTCTTTACCGGTATGATGTCTTTGTCCCCTACCCTTGAGATGTAAATCCACGCTCTTTACCGGCATGATGTCTTTTTCCCCTACCCTTGAGAGGTAAATCCACGCTCTTTACCGGTACGAGATTTCCTTTTCCCCTACCCTTGACAGGTAAATCCACGCTCTTTACCGGTATGAGATTTCTTTGTCCCCTACCCTTGAGAGGTAAATCCACGCTCTTTACCGGTATGATGTCTTTTTCCCCTACCCTTGAGAGGTAAATCCACGCTCTTTACCGGTATGAGATTTCTTTGTCCCCTACTCTTGAGAGGTAAATCCACGCTCTTTACCGGTATGATATGTCTTTGTCCCCTACCCTTGAGAGGTTAATCCACGCTCTTTACCGGTATGAGATTTCTTTGTCCCCTACCCTTGAGAGGTAAATTCCTTGTCTCTTACTCTTGCACGTCCTGAACAAAATTAATGGACGTCTTTAACGTGACCCCTAAGTATTTTTACTTTTAGTAGGTCACACGCATACATACTTCACCTGCTTTTGAAATGTTGTGTTACCCTGAAAACTCAACATGATCTTAATCCACAACATATTATCAAAATCACAAAACATCTAGAATATAATTTTATTTGACGTTGTATACACTAGCATTATATTTTGTTAAAGGTTTTATCACTTTCTTCCTTAAATTTCCTTTCGTAACCAAGACAACTTTCATCTTTTGGTGATTATTTTTGTCCTTGATGCAATTCAGTAGATATATACCCTCTGTTGGTATGGAATTGTCAGAGACAATGTAATATGAGTGTAGAATATGAATATATAATAACAGAGGAGATGGAAGCTACTGGTAGAAAATGTAACAATTCTTCTGGACGGATAGAATAACAAGAACATATGTAGGCAGTGCCATGTCATGTGAAAGCATGGACAGCTTTATCTATGTAAGGACGCCAGATCTGTATTTGGCAAGTTACTGCGCGCTCTAGCACACACACACACACGCGCACGCACGCACGCACGCACGCACGCGCGCACGCACACACACACGCGCGCAGGGAGAGATAGAGATCGTACATGCACTACAAATAGGGCCAAATTGTGCATTGATTTAGCAAAAGTGGGTGAAGTTCGATGATACCAGCTCAATACAATATATAGGCAAATACGGTTATTACATTAAACAGACTTATAAAGATGGAAAATGTAGGATATTCCATTTTACAGACTGAATACATTGTGAAAAAAAACTGTTTCAAATGCTGAAGCAGTTTGATATGATCAATAATTTGTTGCCAACAATGACGCTTACGGAATTCTATGAATAGGAATCGATAAAAAAAAGCTTATATTTTTTACCTCATGTGAAAAGTATTTACAATTGCATATGTCATGGAGAAATGCAATCTACATGTAACATAGTTTAATGTGAAAATATACATGCCACCAAAGGTCAAGATATGTTGTTAATTTTAACCAAGTTCA